GCTTTGTGAGCCAGCCTAGCACATTATCGGACCTGAGGTGAGCATTCTGGGAACTCACATTTAGAGCTGGTCAGTCAGCAGCACAGGTGGCCCCTGAGACATGCGATTGGCATGTAAAGTGAGGCGGGGGACAGTCTGATATGACTGAGCCTTTAAGCTGTGGGGTCTGATGCTATCTCCAAGTAGATAGTGTCATTATTGAGTTAAATTTGTAGGACACCCAGTTGATGTCCACTGAGTATTGGAGAATTGCTTGTAGGTGTTGGAAAACACCTCAAGAGGATATGGATATCTGAACAAAAACCTGGAAGGAAGGGGCAAGTGGGCACAGAAGAGGTAACCAACAACAGCTACTGTAGATAGAGATCTTAGAAGCAGAGGGCCTGCGGTTTGAATTCTGGCACTGCGCTTTGGAACTGTGTCATCTTGAGCAAGTTAATGAACCTTTAAAAGCCTTATTTTGTTGGATAAGTAAACGTGGAATAATAATACTTACCTCATGTGATTACCGAGAGGATGAAAGAGACAATGTATACAAGGGGTCTGTTAAATGTCCTGATCCATGGAAGGGACTCCATGAGGATTAGTTTCCTTTCTTCCTGCTGTTTCGTGCATTAGTTTACAGTACAGCCACTTGATAGGATCTGAAGGGATCAGTACCTTGCTATTTCCAACAAATGTTTTTTGAGGTGCTAATATCTTCTAATGAGAGCATGAGCCACCATTTAAACCATTAGATTAGGAACATTCCAGATGGTCCCAGCACAATGTGTTCATGTCACAGATGGCTGGCTCATAATAGCAAGTCTGGAGTAATAAGCAAGAATAGCCATATCAGTTTTAGCTTTGGGCTTTTATCTCCTTCTTAAATATACTACTGTTGTATAAAATAAATAAAATATGCATGCACACATATGTTTGCCTTTCTATATGTTTCATAATTAGGTGAAGATACTGAAGAAAATCACCTTCATTCTGGTTTTAAATGCATTTTCTTCCCTTCAAACATAGGCCTTTGTGCATACTGCTCTCGCTGGAAAGATAACTCTTCCTTTCCCCCACAAGTCCATGTAAATAATCAATTCCTCTGGAAAGGCCTCCCGCTTTTCTAGCCTAGATGAGGCCCTTTTGCTTGTGTTCTCATAGCCTTGAGTTTTTGTTATCTATTGCTATGTTATAAACCACTCCAAAATTCAGTGGTTTAACTGCTAATGATATTATTTCCCATGATTTTTTCTTTCTTTTTTTTGGTTGATCAGGTGGTTCTTTTTCTTCATCTGGTCTTGACTGAGGTGCTGAGGTAGCTGCAAGGTCCCAAGGCTGGCATATCGTGCTGGCCACCTACTGGGCTCTCAGCTGGGGTTATTGGCCGGGGCCCTTGGTTATCTTCCACACAGACCGTGTGGCTGGGTGAGCTGTTCACAGAAGACAGTTAGATTCTAAGAAAGTGCATTCCAGGAGGTCTAGTCCTATTGTGCAAGTGTTCATCGGACCTTGGCTTGTGCCATGTATGTAAGGTCCCAATAGTCAAAATTAATTTTATGGCCAAACCAGTGTCAGGTCAACATAGAAGAGGCAAAATGTCAGGTGGCATGGAGGCCCCCAAATCTACCACATCTAGTGAACCCTCCCTTCATAGTACTCATTGTTCGCAATTATATGGTTGGATATGTTATTTTCTCTCTCTCAATAGACTCTAACATCCATGAAAACAGGGATCTTATTGTTTTTCGCTAATCATTGTAGAACAGAACTTTAAGGACAATTTAAGGCTTTTGAAGAAGCCCAAGCGACTGAGCAACTAACAATAGGTGCCACCATGCAGGTCTTGCAAAAGGGATTGGTCCAGGGGCTGGCCGAGTGGCGTGTTGGTTAAGAGTTGGCTTGGGACGCCAGCTCTGAGCAGCAGGGCCCCAGTTTGGATCCCACATGAGGGCAGGTGACGCTGCACCCTCTACAGCTAAGATGGTGAACAACAGCTCAACCTGGAGCTGGGCTGCCGTGAGTCCCCGGCAATGGCGCAGGCTGCAGTGAGGCTGGCCAGCAGCTGCCGTGAGCTTTTGTGAGCTGCTGTGAGCGTCTGTCCAATGGCCGGCGAGCAACTGCCTCACCGGGGAAGAGCGCAATGATAATACCAACATGGGCCAGTGAAGCAACATCCTCCACAACTAGACTGATGAACAAAAGGACAACAACTTGTCTTTTCCCCTTCCCCAAGTCCCCAATAAAATCTTAAAAAAAAAAAAAAAAAGAAGAAAAAAGAAAAAGGGACTGGTCCAAAAACGGCCTTGCCATTGTTAGTTGGTCACCTACCTCCGTAGTATTTGGAGAGCGTTTCAGGTGTTCTATGCCCCCTCCCCCATCATGGCTGAGGGGAGGACGCATTTCCTCTCACCTGAAGTCAATGGAGAGGGATTTCAGAAACTATTTGGAGACCTTAACATGTGACCTTTGAAGTTTGGTGCTCCATCCCTACCAACATTCCATTGTTTGCAGGCAGCAGGATTGTTTGTGGGCGTCAGACCCCATAAGGGGATTGTCTCAGGAACCTCTATCCAGGCAGTCCCTATGAATAAAGGAATCTGTACAAGTCCTAGAGAGACACCCAGTGATGCCTTCTACCAAACAACATTAGCTCCATTATTGGGCCTCCCATGTGCTAGGGAGGTCACATTTGTTTTTTTGTAATTTGTATTACAACCCTGTAATACAAAGGTAGGTAGGTAGGTTTCATTCAGATTTTACAGATGGGAAAACTAAGTGAGGTTGAATTATTGGGTTGTCGGGAAAGTCATGACGCAATATGCAACTCAACATTTGTCCAGTATCACACAGCTAATAAGCAGCTGAGTTGTGTTTTGAGCCTAGGTCTGTCTACAGAATTCATGTCCTTCCACCAGAGCCCTACTGTTCCAGTTCAGGGATACATGGAAAAAGACATGTGTTCAGAGACAGACACAAAGACCAAGTCTGGAGCATAAAATATTTAATAAGCAACCAAACCTATGATAGGCAGGGAGAAGAAGTGTATTGGGCAGATGCAGGAGGTGTGTTGTGATACAGGCCTGAGCTACCCCGCAGCTTTCTGGAACACATGTCAGTTAGTGTGGCTCCCCTTTGGGTGGAAGGCTGGACCTTGTACTTCTGCCCCACTCAGGCATACATACATATTACCCCAGTGTGATGGTTAACAGTGTATCAACTTGACTGGGACATGGGGAGCCCAGGTATTTGGCTAAACATTATTTCTGGGTGTGTCTGTGGGCGTGTTTCTGGATGAGATTAGCATCAGAATTGGTAGACTGAGTGAAGCAGACTCCACAGCCTCTTCTCTCCCCCCTCCCCCCACCATCTGCCTTGCTCCGCCCCATGTGTGTGGACATCATCCCTTACGTTGAGGGCCTGAATAGAACAAAAAGGCAGAGCAAGGGAAAATTCAGTCTCTGCCTGATCTGTGAGCTGGGACATTGGTCTTTTGCACTCGGACTGGAGCTTACACCACTAGTTTTCCTGGGCCACCAGCTTGCAGATGGCAGATCACCGGACTTTTCAACATTCATAATCATGTGAGCCAATTCCTCATAATCAATTTATTTCTCTCTCTCCCCCTCTGTCCCTCCCTCCTTCCCCCACCCCTCACTGTTCTCACCGGTCTGAATGTTGACTGGGCTAGTTGATTGGTCCTCACCTGAGATCTCCTCTGCAGATGCTGTGAGATGACAGCTGAGACCTGGGCAGACAGTCCTGGGCTGGGATGGCTGGAGCAGCCACTGCTGGCTGGGTCTCTGTCTCTTATGGCTAGCTTGGGCTTTCTCACGGTGTGGTGATCTCAGGGGAGTCCGACTTCTTACATGGTGGCTGGCTTCTCCCTGATGGAGCATTCCGAGGGACGGGAATTGGGAGCTGTTCCGTTGGGCAAAACAGTCACAAAACCCACCCAGACTTAAGGGGAGGGAATATAGAACCCACTTCTTAATGGAAGGAATATCAAATAATTGGCCTCATCTTCACTTTGGCGTTTGGCACTGTCCACCACAAATGATATGATCTCTTGTTCCGTCATTTATCATTAATCTGTGACTATTCTTCTCTATTCTCCTTCAGTAGTATCTTCTTTTCCCACTACTGGAACATCCTCTTCTCTTTTCTCTCTCAATACTCATTTGCCCTTGATGATCATACCTGCTGTTATGACTTCAGTCACCACCTTGAGGCTGATGATCTCCCAAATCTCTAAAGATGGCTACTCTGCTCTTCTGACTCACATGGCCAAGCAACCTTTACAACACCTGTGGAAGGCGTCTGAACAGTCTTTGTGTTCACCCACCCGTAGGCAGAGCCACGAGTTTTGTCCCGAAGGGGGCTGGGTCTTCCTTGTATGGCCTTCCTGAGAGTCTCCTGCTTCCGACGAACTGCACACACTTGTGGCCATCTCTAGGAATGACCTCCATGAATGACAACCTAGCATGACCTTGGCCATAGAACCCAGAAGTGTGGGATGTGGAATACTGACAGGCTGTATGAGTAAGAATGATTTACATGAACATTTCAAATCTTCCACTGTAGGATCTTTGTTTAGTGATTTGCAGGTCATTCAGCTGTGGGATGCATAGACACAGTTTGTATGTTTTTATTAATTGCACTTTGTCATAATTATACTTTTATAGTTAATAAATGAACAGCTCAATCAGCCTATTCATGATTCAAATACTAATTCCTATAAAAACAATGTCTAGCCGGATCCTTTCTCACAGAGCATGTGGACATAATATTCAGTAGTAAAAATGAGGTGGTAATGGCCCCCCAAAACACACTTAAAAACAGACATAGATTTGAAACAACAGCTTGCTTAAAGACAAAAGAAATTGACTATGAACATTGTTTCAATAAATCCTAATTTTGTTATATTTATGTAACAATTTTTGTTAGTTTTGTTATATTTATATTTGAATTTTGTGTTGGCAGACCGTTTCCGTGACATATTACTTCTTAACTCCAAGGTGCAAGGACTTACGGTCTGGAATGGAACAGCAGTGTGCTTTCTTCCCCATAACTGGTCTGAATGTGGAACTGATCTCAGCAGTCAGTCCATCGTACAAGTATCCTCATTTATGAATGTACCACAATTTCACACCCTCAATATGACGCCATCTTCAGTTAAATTCAGAAGACATTTATAAGGCAGTGTGTTCCAAGTTGTGGAGGATATAAAGAACCTAAGAAGGTAAGAGTAATGAGGGTGAGAGGAGTTACAGACAACTGCAAGACTGCAGCTGGGTGACAGTGTCAAAGGGGTGCAGACCTGTGGACTGCAGGGATTATCCGTTGCTTCTCATTTGAGGAGAGAGGGATGGGAGAGCATTCCAGACAGAAGGAACAGAGGCTTGGAGCAGGAGTTCAGCCTGTGGCTGGGAATGATGATGAGTAAACCCTTGGCTAGAACACAGCATATGCGGGTGGGGGCATCAAGGAAAATGACTGAACAAAGATTGAGGCTGCATCATGGAAAGAGTCCTTTGGAGAGGGTGAGTCATCAAGGCTTTTGAGTATAATTGAGTCTTGCTCCTAGCACCGTTTCATGACTGTGTCTCCCAGGGAGTATCATGTCAGTGCTTGACTGCAAGGGCGTCTTGTTCTCACTCTTCCCTGACTGAAAAGACTCATTTTAAAATAAAGAGCAAAGCAAAACAAAATAAAAAACCCTTTCCTTGAACTGAATCTGTTTCTAATAACTCCCTTAACAGCCAAGCCCATCAGAACAGGCTAGAATCTAGTGTCTGGATCTCCCACTTCTCATATGTTCTTTATTTTTTTTAATTTTTTATATTTCATTAATATTTTTTATTTTTCAGTTACAGTTGACATACAATATTATATTAGTTTCAGGTGTACAACATAGTTATTAGACATTTATATAACTTACAAAGTGATCGTGCTGATAAATCTAGTACTCATCTGATACCACACATGTTTATTACAATATTATTGACTGTATTCCTTATGCCATAGCCTACATTCCCATAACTACTTTGTAACAGCCAATTTATACTTAATCCCTTCTCCTTTTTTTACCCACCCAACCTCCTTCCCATCTGGTAACCATCAAAATGTTTTCTGTATCTATGAGTTTGTAGCTGTTTTCTTTGTTAATTTTGTTCTTAGATTCCACATATAAGTGAATCAGATTGAATCTATCCTTCTCTGTCTGACATACTCCACTCAGTACAACACCCTCCAGGTCCATCCATGCCTCTGCAGATGGCCGAGCAATATTCCACTGTATATATGTACCACCTTCTCTTTATTCATTCTTCCATCTACAGACACCCAAGCTGGCTTCACATCTTCGCCATTGTAAACAATGCTGCAGTGAACATATGGATGCACATGTCCCTTCAAAGTAGCATTTGGGTTTCTTTGGACAAATATATTCAAGTGGGATTACTGCGTCCTTCATTGCCTCTTCTTTTTTTTTTTTTTAAAGATTTTATTGGGGAATTGGGGGAAGGGGAACAGACAAGTTGCTGTCCTTTTGTTCTTCAGTCTAGTTGTGGAGGACGTTGCTTCACTGGCTGATGTTGGTATTATCATTGCCCTCTTCCCGGGTGAGGCAGATCAGTCACTAGCTTCTGGATGGCCGCTCACAGCGGCTCTTGGCAGCTCACACTGGCTGCCAGCCACTCATGCTGGCTGCCAGCCACACACGGTAGCTTATTCATTGCCTCTTCTTATAACCTTTGTTTTAAAGTCTATTTTATCTGGTATAAGTATTGCTATCCCAGCTTTTTTTTTTTTTAATTTCAATTTTCATGAAATATCTTTTTGTATCCCTTTACTTTCTGTCTCTGTGTGTCTTTCAATCTGAAGTGAGTCTGTTGTAGGCAGGATATGTAGGGGTTTTGTTTTCTTAGCCTTTCATCCTTCCTATATCATTTGATTGGAGCATTTAATCCATTTACATTGAAAGTAATTGTTGATAGGTATGTAGGTATTACCATTTTATATTCATAATTTTGACTTTTTTTTCATCTTAAAGAAGTCCCTCTAAGATTCCTTGTAATACTGATTTTGTGGTGATGAACTCCTTTAGCTTTTTCTTGTCTGGGAAGCTCTTTATCTGTCTTTTGATTTTAAATGATAGCCTTGATGGGTAGAGTAGTAATCTTGGTTGTAGGTCCTTACTTTGTGTCACTTCTGGCATGTAAAGTTTCTGTTGAGAAATCAGCTGACACTCTATGGGAGCTCCCTTATAGGTAACTAACTGCTTTTCTCTTGCTGATTTTAAGATTCTTTCTTTGTCTTTAACCTTTGCCATTGTAATTATAATGTGTCTAGGTGTAGGCCTGTTTGGGTTCATCCAGTTTGGGACTCTCTGCACTTCCTGGGCTTGGATGTCTAGGTTAGGAAAGTTTTCAATCATTATTTCTTCAAATAGGTTTTCAATTTCTTACTTTCTTTCTTCTCCTTCTGGTACCCCTATGATGTGAATGTTGTTACACTTGATGTTGTCTCTTAAATTATCCTCAATTTTTTTTTTCCTTTTTGCTGTTCTGATTGGGTGTTTTCTGCTACCGTGTCTTCCAAATTGCTGATTCAGTCCTCTGCTTCATCTAGTCTGCTGGTGATTCTTTTCAGTGCATTCTTCATTTCAGTTATTGTATTCACTTCTTACTGGTTCTTTTTTATGGTCTCCATGTCCTTTTTTATGCTTGCTATCTATTTGTTGAAGTTCTCACTAAGTTTTTCAAGCATCCTTATAACTATTGGTTTGAACTCTGTCTCTGATAGATTGCTTGCCTGCATTTTGTTTAGTTCTTTTTCTGGATTTTTCTCTTGTTCTTTCATTTGGGGCACATTTCTTTGTTTTCTCATTTTGGCTGCCTCTCTGTCTTTGTTTCTATGTATTAGGTAGATCTGCTATGTCTCCCAGTCTTGGCCGGGTGGCCTTATGTAGTAGGTATTCTGTGGGGCCCAGTGGAACAGTCTCCCTGGTCACCTGAGCTGGGTGCTCCAGGAGTGTTCCTTGTGTGGGTTGTGTGTGCCCTCTGGTTATAGTTGAGCCTTGATTGCTCTTGGCACATCAGTAGGTGGGATTTACCCTTAGGCTTACTGACTGGCTGTGGGGTTTGGCCATGTTCACAGCTTATGGGCTGCTGTGCGGTAGACTTACCCCATTGAGTGAGATTTGCCCCAGTGGGCACTCGTGCCTGTTGAGACTGCCCTTTGGGTTTGCTGCTCTTGGGGCTAATTGGATGGTGCTGTGCTGTGGTCAGAATCAACCTCCAAGAATGTTGGTTCTGGGGCCTCTTGGGAGGAACTCCAGCGCAGGCCCAGGTCAGCCACTGACTGTGACCAGCTGGGGTCTACCTGGTAGGAGCAACAAAGTGATCCACAGCTGTTCTCTGCCTATTCTGGACCTGGAGGTGCATGGGAGAGGCCACACTATGAACTGAGGATGTCTACCATGAGTACCAGGCCTGGGATAGCGCCTAAAAAAGCCAGGACACCCAGAGGCCTACTGCCATCTGCCAGCTCCCTTCAGGTTCAACCACTGATAAAGCCTTGTGTTGTATGCAGGTTGGGTGAGATAGGGTCTCAGGGAGTCACTAGGTTGAGAAGAAATATAGTCACCAGGTTAATGTAAATTATGTTTTGGTGCCAGTGCTGACCCTGGAGTGACTCAGCAAAAGTTTCAGAGTACATGGAGGCCAGTCTCCGCCCACCTGGGGCCTGCCTGACTCTGATAGTTTTCCAAGAAAGAATGCAATAGGGGCAGAGCTGGCTGCTCTTGGAGAAAGTGCCTCCAGCAGTATGAGAGTTGGGTGGGGCAGGGTCCCAGCTGAGTTATCAGGGCAGAGCAGCAGAGCTCACCAAGCCAATCAGATTCAGATTTGGCCTGTGGGGGTGGGCTCAGCACAGGCAAGATGGTGCCTGCATGTCAGCTGCATAAAGGGAGGACCCCTTACAGGGAAAATGCCAACTGTCCTCTAGTCCTCCCCCCAAAGCCACATACCTCAGTCTGCTCCCCCCTACCCCGTATGTCTCTGAGATCCTCCAAGTCACCGCACCTCTGCTGGAGCCTAAAGTGAGTGCTTGTGAACGAATGAGTCTGTGCACGGGCCATTTAAGAGGATGTCTGGGTTTCCTGCAGCCTTCCATCCCACCTGAATGGCTAGAATCCCCACTGTTTTTCACAGCAGAATGTTGTGGGGTCTCCTCTTCTGGATACCAGTACTCCAGCCTGGGGAGCCTGGTGTGGGGCTGGGGTACCTCACCTCTCCAGGGGGAACCAATGCAGGGGCGATATCCCTCCTGATTCTCAACTGCCACAGGTAGGTGTAGGGCCTGTTTTGTGTCTCCACCCCTCCTACTGGTTTTGACGTATCTTCTTCTTTAAATTTTTAATTCTAGGACTTCGTTTGGCTAGACTTCAGATGATTCTATAGGTTGATTGTTCTATAACTTAGTTGTAATTTTAATGTGTTTACAGGATGCAGGCACAGTGTTTATCTATTCCACCATCTTCAGGCATTCAAATGTGCTTTAAAAATTCTCAACCCCACTACTATCAACAAAAATCCACTTAAAAAAATTACATGATATACTTGTTTATTAAAAATAAATTAGAAAATACACATGACCAAAAATCTAAAATTAATGTCCACCCATTAGTCAATGCCCCAAAAGCAACTATAGTTGAAATATTGGTGTACTTTCCTCTGTTTTTTCTTGTATCCATGTATTATCTATCTATATATAATATACTTGATCTATAAAAATGAATATAGATTATTTTATAATCTGCTTTCTTCCCTTATTAATACTATATGGTCACTATTCCATGTCATTAAACATTTTCTATAACTTCAATTCTTTTCTGTCAGATTTACTGAGATAGAATTTACATGCAGTAAAACAGCCTTTTTAACTGCTCAATTTGATGATTTTGAAAAATATATACAGTCATGTAACCCCTACCAAAACCAAGATACAGAGAATTTCTGGTATGTACAAATTTTATTTCCCACCCCTGATCCCTGGCAACTATGGATTTAGTTTCTGGAGTTTTATCTTTTCCAGAGTGTCATATAAATAGAATCACAGAATATGTTACCTTTTCTGTGTGTATGTCTGGCTTCTTTCACTTAAAATAAAGTTTTTGAGATTTATTTGTGTTGTTGAATCTATTAGTAGTTTGTTTCTATTTATTGCTGAATTTATTCTATTTCTTTTATTTTAGTCATTCTAATAGGTGTTTAATGGTTTCTCAATGATTTCAGTGCTTTAATTTGTATTTTCCTAATGAGTAATGAGGTTGAGCACCTTTTCATGTGCTTGTTTGCCATCAGAATCTCTTCTTTGGTTAAGCATCTGTTCAAATCTTCTGCCCATTTTCTAATTGGTTTTATTGAGTTGTGAAAAATCTTTATATATTCTGGATACAAGTCCTCTGTAAAATATACGTATAGTGAATATTTTCTCCCAGGCTGTAACTTGTCTTTTCATTTCTTTAACAATGTCTTTCAAAAGGCTGCAGATTTTTATTTAATTGTAATATATTCCAATTTATCTTAAAAAAATAAACCCTGAATGTACCACAGACTATTTATCCATACACCAATTTGTGGACATCTGAGCTGTTTCCAGTTTTTCATGACCTTGAATAAAG